TGTGCGAATTGTTCCATTTGTAGATTTCTTTTTTCTTCCCTTTTTTTGGGGGCCGAGCCATGTGCAGCATGTGGGATCTTAGTTCCCTAACCAGGGAAGGAACCCACACCCCCTGCAGTGGAAGCTTGGAGTCCTAACCACTGGACCACCAGGGAAGTCCCTGTAGATGTTCTTTTTTGTTTTGTTTTGTTTTTTGCAGTACGTGGGCCTCTCACTGTTGTGGCCTCTCCCGTTGCGGAGCACAGGCTCGGGACGTGCAGGCTCAGCGGCCATGGCTCACAGGCCCAGCCGCTCCGCGGCATGTGGGATCTTCCCGGACCGGGGCATGAACCGGTGTCCCCTGCATCAGCAGGCGGACTCTCAACCACTGTGCCACCAGGGAAGCCCTGTAGATGTATTCTTGATGTACTTGTGGGGAGAGGTGAACTGCACGTCCTCTTATTCCTCCATTTTGACCCCTCTCCTCATTAGCTCTTAATGTGAGCTCTGAGTACCACATTAGCCCTAGGAGCTGTGTGCCCACATTATTTTAACTTATTTTTCATTGGCCTCCCAACTTACCTCCAGATTCATGGGCCATTACTATTAAATCTCTTTCTAGTGCTCAAATCAAACCTTTAAGTTGAATATGGATTTATGGCTCCCCATTCTTCAGTCTCCAGATGTAACTAAATGAAAGTACACTCCTCATTACCACCTCAGCAACAGCAGGAACAAACATTCAGTGTCTGTATAGTACCTGTGGGAGCAAACATTTAGTGTCTATATAGTACTTGTGGGTCATTGCTCCAGTCTCTTCAGGGTTTTCAATTCATAGGATTTAATCTGTTTACCTCCAATTCTTTCATCTCTGTGGGAACTAACTCTATGCCTTGCATAGAGTGAAAAATCAATAAATGTTACAGAAATGTTAACGTTTATCTTTATGGCAAATACTTAATGAATGCTTACTATATGCCAGAAACTGCACTAAGCGCTCTGCACATATTAGCTTATTTATTTTATTTAAAAAATGTTTTTATTGAGGTATAGTTGATGTAGAGTATTACATAAGTTACAGGTGTACAATACTGTACAGTTTTCACAATTTTTGAAGGTTACACTTCATTTACAGTTATTATAAAATATTGGCTATATTCTCTATGTTGTACAGTATATCCTTGTAGCTTATTTTATACAACAGCGTATTGAAATACTTGTTTCTCCAGCCTGCTGGGCATCTAATGAGAGGTAGGTAGAAATATTTGAGGAAGGAGTCACTTACCAAGTAAAAAGAGAAAACCTCATGAGATGAAGGCTTTTTTTCCCCTGTTTGTCCTTCCTTCTGCCTGAAATGTGTATGCAATGACGGAGAGCAGCAGCCATCCTGTGACCATTAAGAATGATGGCCCAGGAAGCCAGAGGAGCCCCATCTTTAGGAATTTTCTTGAGCCCTTCTGGCAGGGGAGTTCTGCCTATCTCCAGACTTCTAACTTCTGAGATAAGACTCTCACTCATTTAAGCCATTGTTTCCAGGTTTTGTTACCTGCAATCATAACTGGTACCATAGCTTACATGCATTGAGTGCTACTATGTATCAGGCACTGTTCTGGGTGGTAAATATACATTCACTCATTTAAGAGGAAATTAACCCAATGTTTCCTTTTACTCTGCTGCTAGCTGTTTCATGTATAAGAAACAGTCCTCTTAATGTACTTGACTAACTTCCCTAAAATAACATGTTGGACATCTTAAAAGCTCTTCTCCAAGTTTTCGCCAATTATAAACCAGTGATGAAGCACAAAGGCTTTGGAGTCAACTGACTGGGGGGTGACCCCTGGTTTTCCCAGCGTGTGGTCTTGGGCAAGGTGTTTAGCCTCTCTAAAGCTTGGTTTCCACATCTAGATAAGGGAGATTAATAACAGTACCTATGCCATTCAAAATTTTCCATTTTAGAAAGAATTCACTGCCTGGAACCCAGTAAGGTCTCAATAAACGTGAACTATTCTGGTGACATCTTTTTCCTTTTCCACTGATAGCAAAGAGAAGCCTAACTCAGCCCCGTTAAATCAGTCACATCACGGTTGCATTCAACAGGAAACACAGTCCATCACATCTTCCCATCTCTTATTTTCTCCTCAAGGTAAGAAAACACACCCAAGTTGCAGTCAGGTTTGAACAGTGAACACTGAAGAACTCACGACTTCATAGTAATGTAAACTGCCCGACATCTTTTAGGTAAGTAGCAGATAGTTTGTGAATAGCCTAAGAGTCATGCCACAGATTTGGAAAGAGCAGAGCTAATATGACTAATTTAGTCTATTTTAATTGTATTACAAATGCTATAGTAGTTAGTGCTAAAGAATTTGCCAATTACATTTAAATTTTCAATTTAATTTCTTCATGGTTACCTTTTAGTCAATGAATAAAATATAGGTAAGAATTGCCTTGGATGCAGTTTAGGTTAGGACAGAGAAGGGAGAATGATGCTATATTTGGCACAGTATGTGTCGACATCGGTTGTCTATGTATTAATATGTCATGTGTGGGTTAGATATCCATAAGCTATCAAATAATATTTGTCTTAAGCAGTCGGTGTATGTGAAGATACTTTTCTTGGTCCTGTGATGTTTAAATAGACTAATTGACTCCATTCCAACCTTTAATATATAATTTTAAATTTGGAATTTCACCAAAATGTGAGATTTTGGTAAAATGTAAATTACATCTTGGTAAATGTAAAATTAGGCCTGACACTTGAAAGAAGATGCGTTGTTCACCATAAAACAGAACTGTTTAACTTTTCTTCATATATGAAAAGGTCAGTCATAATATGACCCTTTATACTTCCATTGGGACAAAACATTATCTTTCATTCCTTTGACAAATTCAAGGTAAAGTTAAGAAGGGGGGAAAAAGGGAAGAAATAGTAGGCAGGAGAACAGAAAGCAAAAGAAGAGAGAAGGAAATGTTTGGAGAGGGGAGGAAAATGTTCTTATCTGAACTGTGATATCCTGAACCATTTTTGACCACAGAATAAATATTTGTAGATACTGATTTCCCAATGCAAAATGACAAAGACCAGTAAAGGGAGGTTAAGCAAAACATTTAAATTGAGAGTCAAAGTTCGATGTAAAGAAAGGGGACATTAACATAGATAGGGAATAATCGCACCCCTCCACTATATATTAAAGAAGAATTGAACCAGAGCTTTTAGGAGTATATTTCTCCATTCTCTGGAGATAAAGTCTTTTGCACACATTTGGAATGCTGGAGCGTATTCAATATGGAAACTGAAAGAAATCTCAGTGACCTGTGAGGCAATAACAAAAATTTGTCAGCTACTGTCTAGCTCAATAAGTAAAGGATTTTGTATTTAATTCTTTCAAAGTTGTGGCACCCATGGCAAGATGATGCTGGA